TAATAACCCTTGGAAAAGGAAAGTTTGGAAAAGTTACACTGGTTTTGCCTTTTATCGCAAAATGCCTGTTGCAGTGAGACAATTCAATGAAGGAGTCTCGCAAGCAGGAGTTGAGCATGAGGCAAACATTATTTCCTCATTTAATAAGGCCAAACCTTTCATGCCTCTACTACAATTCTAATTTGTTTTTCGGCAGGAACGATTCAACCGATTTCTTAGCCTGAGTATCAGGCCTTCCTAAGGGGCTAGGGGCGAGGAGATTTTAGGTGGGGGAGGGGGGAGGGGGGGAAAAGAGAAAGGAAGACCTGACACAAAACCATTCAACAAATCGTGTGACACATCCAGAATCTGGATGTGGCAGTGATTGGATAACTCACAATACGCCCTGACGTCACCGACCGCAAGTAAATACAAGCAGAGTGTTTTGATTTCATGTGGTAATTCTATGGATAGAGACACAGAGAGAAATTCAAAGAGGCTCTCACTGGAGGTTTCAGAAAAAGCGAAATCATAGCAACCAAAGCACCGTAGCTCGGCCAGACCGTAAGGTGAGATTTGTTTTAGGCAACCTTTTTGACACGTGAAGCTGACAACCTAATGACCCAGTGTGATTTTGATTGGATGGTATCGAATCATGCTGTGCGGAGGTGGAAGGCTCCAATAAAACCATCTGTGTCAGGCGTTTCTCTTCTTCAGCTCTCTCCCTTTTTCACTTCCATCTTTCCCCTTTTCCCCCAGAAAAGCCTGACACTCAGGCTACCGATTTCTGTGAACTTTTTTTGGACAGTTTTTGTAAAAATTCGGTTTTAATCATAACCCGATATCTCAAACAGTTTTAAACCTACACAAAAATAAACAACATTTTCTTAAATTTGCACTATTCGTTATTAAAGTTGCCAAAAATCATAGAAATCGGTTAATATTTATTGCCTTTTATCATGCTGCAGTTGAGAAAACACATTTATTGAAAGTGTTCTTTTGGCTTGTTTTTTCTCTTTATAGAATGGTGATGATGCAAAGAAAGTTGCCCAGAACAGCAAGGAGGGAATGACGTCCTTTGAGGGACAACCGCAAGCCCTAGATGATACATACCTCAGTGTGAAAAGGAATCTCCTTCTAAAGGCTAATGGAGGATATAGCAACGCCTGGTCACTCTTCTAATATATTTTGTGAGTAATATAGAATATCCGAAACAATGCAGAAACTCATATTCATTTTAATCTTAAACTATAACCGACTAAGGTGTTGCTGTAAATAAACTGAGTCAGTTCTAAGCTTGTAATTAAAGCACACTAAAATTAATTCTGCACGACTTGTTGTATAATCTACCTTTCACATCAATAGCTAAGCCGAACAAAGACAACGACCGTGGCAAAAACGTCCGTTAAAAGTAAATCCACATTGTTTCAAATTTCATCTGTCTGGCTTCTGCAGTTCTGTAAAGGACTATATTAATATTTGAATTATTAACAAAAGTTGCATGACTAAAGCATGCCTTTGTCTACCAAGACAATTGGACACGCCTTAATGAGAAACCAGCCAAGATCATACAAGTGATTGATTTACCAGATTAACGTCCGTGAGCCTAGTTAAAGCAGAGTTAAAGAAAACAAATGTGGCTTTATCAGCCCTGCCAAATATACAGCTACGAGCACAATTTTTTTTGCCTAGTCAATTGGTTACTTCTACTAGTTGCTCGTTCAATTTAAGGATGACGGTTTGAGTAATTTTGCATACAAAATGTTGACAAAAGGGACAAGATGTTTCGTTCCGAGGAGTGTTTTTGGCATTGGAGGCATTTGATTGTCACAAAAGATACTTTGTGATATGTTATTTCATATTGATGTAATTTAGCTTTGCTCAAAATATTGAATTTGACGCTGCCTGACAAGTATTTTTCTTTTTGTCTTGCACCGCCTGTACACACCAAGATCTTATCTTATTCCCAGGATTAATTATTTAGTTTAGTTCTTACATAATAACATATGATAAGGGATATTCAATATTGAAATCGTCAGTTTCTTCTGTGACGTTAGATCTCACTCAGTACTCAGTTTGATTTCTTTTATTTTTCTTTAAATATTATGTCTCAATTGCACTATTCTCTCCACGCAAGTAAGGAATTCGAATACGCCTTACTAAATGGGGGAAAGCAGTTACAGTTCAGTGTCTGCGTTTTTCTTCCCCAAGATCATCTCCCTAGTCTGGCCTATCGAAGAATGGCAAAGACAATGGACCTCAAAACAGAGCTACTCTTCGAGATTTGTGCTCTAAAAAAAATTGACGTCTTAAGTGGATGCCTTGTTGGCCCAACCGTTGGACAGTAGTAGACTGTTAGATTGTCATGAAATGAGAAGCCATTTTGAATCCCGTCCCAAAAGAGTGGATATTCTGAGTTACAAGAGCCAATCAGAACCTGCCAAAATTGCAATCCACTGATTTGGTGAATACTAATATTTAAATTTTTAAAAGGAAGGCAGACAGATGCACGAAAAATATTGTTTAGTGGTTCTAAGGGAACCAAAAATTGATACTGGCCATCTAGCTCTCTACAGAACCTTGACCAATATACATCCCACCTTTTGAGGATAATTGTGATTGACGTCCATCAAACTTTGCCGTGTGAACCTTCTTATTATTCAAAATACAAAGATTGCACCTTGTCTAATCACAAAAAAAATTCTTACATTTCTTGTATCTATTTGGTTTCCTTATTTAGCAATGGACCTTTTGGCTGGACTGATTTGTTTTGGCAACATTCAGTAGAGGAGCTACACTCGCTGGAGTGACTCCTGTGTACAGACCCGCCCCCCTCCCCTCAGTAAAATCAAACAAGGCGCGTCTTTAATTTACCGATGCTAAACGTGTATGGAGACCACGTGATTTTTCCCGGAATGTGTGGAAAATGATTTGATTGGCTGTTACTCGTAGATCACTGCGTCAATTAAAACAGGGATTACGATTGGCTTTCAATTTTGTGGGGTTTTGTTAAGCCGGCTCTCGAAGTATGCAATGCTTTCAAGCCTGCGATGAGAGTGAGTTTGCAATGAGTTCGTGGGTTCTTTGTGGAAAAAGCATCGTAAACAATTCAGATAAAAATCTTGTTGACCGACAGGAGAGTTCGACTTTTAATGTCCCAGAGGAATTACTCTCCCTGGAGTCTAGAGTGGCTACAATCCTGGACAAAACTACTTGAGAAAATGTTTTCATTAATGCACACTACCTAACGCAACAAAACTGTTTCCAAATCAACGGCTTTGCGTAAAGAATACCCCCTCCCCCAATTCAAAGTTGCTTCCTAGAAATGCTTAGGGATCCGGCTTTTTTTAGAAGACCCAACAACATTGCTTCCAGGGGCAGGGGGGGAGGGAAAAATCGGTCGGCTACGAAGTTCAGAAAAAATGCCCCTAAATATGCAATTTTCTCAACAGTTTTGTCCAAGATTGTAGAGATTGTACTAACTTTTGTAGAAATTGGCTGTCGACTAAGGAAAAGAATGGCGCTTCTGACAAATCTCCATGTGCTGAACTCTACAGCTCGAAAAATTGTCACCTCCAAATCCTCTTCTACTTTCCCCTTGCACGTTAAAGCAAATCCTACGCCTTCTTCAAGACCTTTAACGATTGCCAAGAGAAGGTATTGAAACATGTTGCTCTGGACAATCTGCGTGCCGCAGAAAATCAAGACATGCCAGGATCCATGAAACAACTGCTGCTTTCTTCGACCCCGTGTTAAGAAAAACGAAATGTCGCCATTCCCAGTAAGTAATTAGCTGCTGAGACTGCAAAGGAAAGTGAGGTCGAAGACAAACAGATGATAGCAGAGTTATTTGTTTTTTTCCCTTGGTGCAACAAGACCTTTGCATCTAACGGAAAATGAATGAGGGATCATGAAAGTTCCCACAATCAACGGGTACCAGCTTTGGATCCCTTGCGCTGAGGTTAGGCCATGTCATAAATAAGTACATGACCAACAAAAGAGGAAAGGCTTTGAGAGAATAAGACCAAGTCCTTCTAGAAGACATGGGCAATCTCGAAAAGCTTATGGGATCTGAATGGAGTGATAACATCTCATATAAGTCACTAGGAACAGTCTACAAGAGGAACTTAACAAGCCAGATCTTCTCCCAGTTACTGAAGACTTGGAGATGTTGAGAAAACTTCTCCTTCACAAGATTGTCTCTTGTACAGGAACCTTAAAAGCTGCACCAACAATTCAGAATTGGGGCGAGTTAGCTGAAATAACCCTTTGCCAAGTTATAACATTCCATAACCAAAGAGGTGGTGAAGTTTCGAAAATGCTGCAGCTTAGAATGTAGAATGGCCAGACTGGAAGAAATCAGCAACAAAAGGAATTGAAGATTGTATATAGCCAATTAAGAAGGAGGTGTGTAAGAGGTATAAAGTGATGACACATTCAGTTATTCCACTACCAACACACAAAAAAATTGCAGACACCTTGGAATACATGCACAGTGATAAGATACACTTACAAATCTATCACCAACTGCTACACTAGATTACGTTGATTGCCAACAATTCAACAAAAATATTAATCAACGCACTAAGAAATCTTCAAGCAGGGTAAAGGGTGCATACCAAATTATTGCCAATATCAATCTAAAAGAAAAGGATGGAAAAATTTAATATTTTGCCCTTTGTATCCTTGGATATGCTAGAGACTGAAAGCAAAAGGGGACGTAAGGTCCCAGTGGTGTAAACACCTGATATAAAAGATACAATGGAGGTCTTAGGCAAGAAAAGACGAGGCCAAAATCAATCTAAAGTTTAAAGTCTAAGTTTTTCTTTGCCTGTCCGTCTGAGGACTCAATTAATCACATTCGCCATGGGGACTGTCTGAGGAATCAATGCTCATAGAAATCTTCCAGCAGGGTAAAGGGCGCACACCAGATTATTGTCAATATTAATCTAACAGAAAAAGATGGACCAATTTTGCGCTTTCCCATTATATTTATAATATGTATCCTTTGCAGGTTGGATATGGTTGAGATTGAAGGCAAAAGGGGACGTCAGGTCCCACTGCTGTTAATGCCTGATATCAAAGAAGCAATGAAGATCTTAGTCAAGAAAAGACAAAGCCAACACCGATCCAAACAACAAGTTTTTCTTTACCCGCCTGTCTGAGGACTCAATTAATCACATTCGCCACATGGACTGTCTGACAAAACAATGTAGAGGGCTTGAAGTAAAAGAACCTAATTTGATAGTACCTGCCATAGAAAGTATGCTGCAACGGTTTCCCCAGTGTTAGACCTCCAAGAAAAAGAGTTAGATTGACTGGCACGACACATGGGACATGACATCAGAGTACACAGGGAATATTATAGACTCCACCAGTCTGGAGCTGGCTAAATTCAGCAAAATAATGGCACTAGTTGATGAGGGAAGCTACCAGCAAGCCATTGGGAAACCTTTGAATGAAGTCGAGGTTGATGCTGGTTAGTTAAACATTTATGTCTTGTTCTTGTAGATCATAATCCGTTTAACTTTTGTACATAAACTTTTCAGGGGTATAGCCAATAACAACCAAACAAACTACATGTAAAAAACCCTGTAGGTTACAACTATTTGGTTTTAAGGGGAAAATGTATACGCAAATTGTTCATCCATGTTTCCTTGGAAAACTGCATTTTTCTTGCCGTAAGAAAGGCTGTACCAAAGAAAGAGATGGCACGACACTGCAGACGGCAGACAAGAGGGGTTGAGGAAACTTCAAACTGCTACGGTTAGGTTCTAACTGTTACCATCGGTTATTTATTGTAAAAGGAAAGTTTGGAAAAGTTACACTGGTTTTGCCTTTCATCGCGAAATGCCTGTTGCAGTGAGACAATTCAATGAAGGAGTCTTGCAAGTAGAAGTTGAGCATGAGGCAAACATTATTTCCTCATTTAATAAGGCCAAACCTTTCATGCTTCTACTACAATTCTAACTTGTTTTTCGGCAGGAACGATTCAACCGATTTCTATGATTTTTTTGGACAGTTTTTGTAAAAATTCGGTTTTACTCATAAGCCGATATCTCAAACAGTTTTAAACCTACACAAAAATAAACAACATTTTCTTAAATTTGCACTATTCTTTATTAAGGATGCCAAAAATCAAAGAAATCCGTTAATATTTATTGCCTTTTATCATGCTGCAGTTGAGAAAACACATTTATTTAAAGTGTTCTTTTGGCTTGTTTTTTCTCTTTATAGAATGGTGATGACGCAAAGAAAGTTGCCCAGAACAGCAAGGAGGGAATGACGCCCCTCGTCATCTTTGAGGGACAACCGCAAGCCCCAGATGATACATCCCTCAGTGTGGAAAGGAATCTCCTTCTAAAGGCTAATGGAGGATATAGCAGCGCCTGGTCACCCTTCTTCTAATATATTTTGTGTGTAATATAGAATATCCAAAAGAATGCAGAAACTCATATTCATTTCTCCAGAGAGAAGTTTTGAATGGACAATGTTAAACTTAACCGACTAAGGTATTGCTGTAAATGAACTGAGTCAGTTCTAAGCTCGTAATTAAAGAACACTAAAATTAATTCTGCACGACTTGTTGTATAATCTACCTTTCACATCAATAGCTAAGCCGAACGAAGACAACGACCGTGGCAAAAACGTTCCTTAAAAGTAAATCCACATTGTTTCAAATTTCATCTCTCTGGCTTCTGCAGTTCTGTAAAGGACTATATTAATATTTGAATTATTGAAAAAGGTTGCATGACTGAAATCGTAAAGTCCCTGGTTAAAGCATGCCTTTGTCTACCAAGACAATTGGACATGCCTTAATGAGAAACCAGCCAAGATCATACAAGTGCTTGATCTACCAGATTAAAGTCCGTGAGCCTAGTTAGACCAGAGTTAAAGAAAAAAAAATGGGGCTTTATCAGCCCTGCCAAATATACAGCTACGAGCACAATTTTTTTTGCCTAGTCAATTGGTTACTTCTACCAGTTGTTCGTTCAATTTAAGGATGAAGGTTTCAGTAATTTTGCATACAAAATGTTGACAAAAGGGACAAGATGTTTCGTTCCGAGGAGTGTTTTTGACATTGAAGGCATTTGATTGTCACATGAGATACTTTGTGATATGTTATTTCATATTGATGTAATTTAGCTTTGCTCTTAATATTGAATTTGACGCTGCCTGACAAGTATTTTTCTTTTTCTCTTGCACTGCCTGTACACACCAAGATCTTATCTTATTCCTAGAATTAATTATTTAGTTTAGTTCTTACATAATAACATATGATAAGGGACATTCAATATTGAGTTCGTCAGTTCCTTCTGTGACGTTAGATCTCACTCGGTACTCAGTTCGATTTCTTTTATTTTTCTTTAAATATTATGTCTCAATTGCACTATTCTCTCCACACAAGTAAGGAATTCGAATACGCCTTACTAAATGGGGGAAAGCAGTTACAGTTCCCTGTCTGCGTTTTTCTTCCCCAAGATCATCTCCCCAGTCTGGCCCATTGAAGAATGGCAAGGACAATGAGCCTCAAAACAGAGCTACTCTTCGGGATTTGTGCTCTAAAAAAAAATGACGTCTCAAGTGGATGCCTTGTTGACACAACCGTTGGACAGTAGTAGACTGTTAGATTGTCATGAAATGAGAAGCCATTTTGAATCCCGTCCCAAAAGAGTGGATATTGTGAGTTACAAGAGCCAATCAGAACCTGCCAAAATTGCAATCCACTCATTTGGTGAATACTAATATTTGCATATTTCAAAGGAAGGCAGATAGATGCCCAAAAAATATTGTTTAGTGGTTCTAAGGGAACCAAATATTGATACTGGCCTTGATCAATACACATCCCACCTTTCGAAGATAATTGTGATTGACGTCCATCAAACTTTGCCGTGTGAACATTCTTATTATTCAAAATACAAAGGTTGCACCTTGTCTAATATTAAGAAGAAATTAAGATAAATGCCTGTGGTCACAAAAACAATTCTTACATTTCTTGTATCTATTTGGTTTCCTTATTTAGCAATGGACCTTTTGGTTGGACTGATTTGTTTTGGCAACATTCAGTAGAGGAGCTACACTTGCTGGAGTGACTCCTATGTACAGACCCGCCCCCTCCCCTCAGTAAAAGCAAAGGCGTGTCTTTAATTTACCGTTGCTAAACGTGTATGGAGACCTCGTGATTTTTCCCGGAATGTGTGGAAAATGATTTGATTGGCCGTAACTCGTAGATCACCGCGTCAATTAAGGGATGGACCATTTTATTTTTGAGGGGGGGGTTGGGCAATTACCAAAAAAAAATTCCTGCATAGCAAAAGTCAAGAAAAAAAAAATCATGCACAGTGGGCCAGGGAAAAAAAAAATTCGAGCAAGCCTTTCTACTGGTAGGATCCTGTTAGAGCAAATAAAAAGGTAATCTGTAATTTTTGTCAATTTTATTTCAACAGACCAAAAATGCTGTTAAACTGTTTGTAAAATAATTCACTTCTTTGTGTTTCATATCATAAATATCAAAATTACAACATTTCCATCCATCTCTTGTAGTAAAACATAAATTTGAACCATTTCACTGAATCTGGTATAATATAAAAATCATGTCTTAAAATATCATTTATATTTAAATATAACTTGTATTATAAAATAACTTTTAGCTATCTTCAACATATCTCATATATATTTATTAAATAACAATAACTGCAATGTCTTATAGTGTCTCTGTTTCTGCCCCTTTTTCTGCTTCTACAGAAGCTTCTTAACAGACCAAAAATGCTGTTAAACTGTTTGTAAAATAATTCACCTCCTTGTGTTTCATATCATAAATATCAAAAATACAACATTTCCATCCACTTTTTTGGGACAGTTCTTAGTCAGTGCCCTACTTCTGGTCAATTTGTGTAAGTTATACACATTGTTAATTTAAAACAAATAACATTTAACTGAATTTTTGCTTCAAATCAAAATAGAAGCATTGTCACATCAGCATATAGACCATGTAGCTGAAGCTCTTGAGTAGGGTGCTGATGTAAACGTTCATTTCCATGTTTAAATTTGTCCTATTTATAAATATTCTTTGAAATCATTAAATGTATTTATTGTTATAGGATTATATGATTAATTGTACAAGTAGTGTTCATTCCTGTAACCAAGTTATTGGTTTTCCATGTAGGCAACAACTCCAAGCATATTGTGGTGGACAACGGTCTTACCAAAGGCGGACATTTGTACGTGGAAGTCCTCCATTTATCCCCCTTGTCTTGGATCACTTTGCCACAAAGGGGACTCTTGCAGATATTTCTCAGTTACCCCCAGATATCAAGCTTGAAGGACACAGGTAAGCAGTTAGGGTTCACTACTCTATGTGTGTGTTGATACAGTAACACTTTTAAAATGTGCAAAGAGGAAATCATATGTTAAAATGTTCATCAGTGCAAAGAGTGAATCATACCACTCTCAGTGAAATTTATGAGGTTGTGATTTCTCAGAAGAATTTTAATTTATAATGACAGAAGATGGTGTGCTATAAACTGTGTCAAATGTACATATCTTATTCTTGTTTATGTAGAGAATGATGTATTAAACAGTTTGTCATATTTCTTCCAGATATGTCCTAAAGGGTGCTACATTTTATAGTGGAAATCACTATAGAGGTGCTGTAAAGAGGGGAGGCAACTGGTTCCACTATGATGGTCTATGGGAGAGGCAACAGCCAGGAAGTGGATTGAGACTGGGGGGCACAGCTATTCCACAAGGCTTTATGCTGTCAAGCTGCATTTATGTCAAGGCTTTGTTACTGTAAGAGGGTGGGAAGTATTAAAATTTGCTAGGTGTTTTCTTAAGACAACATTTGTGTTTTAGATAAGATATTCAATACTAATTTCCTGGCATCGGATAAAAAGATCCAGGCATTTTTACAACATTTGTAATTCAGCTGAACAAAATTCCTTTATATTTATTTTTGTAACCCAACATGTAACACTGAATAGACTAAATGCAGCTTGACAGTATTGGCCTGGAGAGAAAGCACTGCTTGAGGTACATGTACCATCTTGTATAGACATACCCTATGAAAAGCTCATTTTTGGTGATACTAAATATGAAGACTAAAAAACATGGAAAAAAAAAATTCGTGCACAACCTTAAGGTACTAAAAAAAATTCGTGCACAGCCCAAAGGCGAAAAAAAAAATTCTTACCAAGCAAAAATTGCCCAACCCCCGCCCCCCCCCCCTCAAAAATAAAATGGTCCATCCCTAAGGTGGCTCGACTGGATTTTTTTGGGAAGATGCCTCCCAAGTTTGAGCATTAACTACGTCGCCATGAGTAAAGATATGGGAAAACGATTACCACAACCGTATTATATAAAAATGAAAATTTCTTATGATCTGGGTTTTATTGCAATCGGAGTCGCCATGGCAACGTAACGACGCCATTACGTTTTTTATTTATCTTTGTGTTTCTCTGTACCGGGAGTTTTTTTAAGAAATCACTTAAGGGAGTTTGTACCTGCCATAATTGCCTCAATTATTTTATAGTTTGAACAAATTCTATGAGAGCGTTTTCGAAATATTTTGAAACGAAGTTTTAAGCATCGTAAAAACAGTGAAATAGCATGCTTTCCACACAATTAGCTAATTTTTTAAGAAAATGATGAGCTTTGGTAACACGGCTTCATCTTATAGTGGTTTGATTTCATTGAAAACTGCGTACAAAAAAGGAGGAGAATTGCTCCGGGCGATCGCGAGTAAGAAGAATTTTAGTAACTTGCATTCAGCTGCTTTTGTTACAGTTTTTGCACGTAATTTGGTCCATGCCTACAAATTTCGCATTTTTCAAAAAACCGCTGGATAAATTTTTTTATAAATTTGACAATCCTGAGGTCAATTGCTAATAAATATACCCTGCAAGTCTCAAGAACATTGAAAACAGAGAAGGCTTTTAAATGGGGCCTCAAATATAACCAATTTTCCCCCCATGTTTTGTGTTTGCAAGTGAGCGTCCTCATTATTCCCTGGCATTGTTTCCAAGTTTTATATGCACGTGCACATTTAGCAGAAGGAAATAAATTTGCGTCAAAAAGAACTCTCGATTATGTTCGGAAGAAATATCTGGAATATGTTAATAATTGGCTTGTGTCAAAGATAGCAGTGAGAGCCGAGACGGTGAACGTCACGGCTCATCGTGTAGGATTCAATACTTAGTTATCTTACTCGAGTAATAACATCACAAACTCTTACAAAGAGTTGCTGTGTTGTTATAATATATCATTAATTTCTTAACCCGGTTATTAGCATTTTCGGGAGATTTAACCGAGGGTCCTTTTTGATGCAAATTCTATTTTTTTGCTAAATGTACACGTGCATATGAAACTTGGAAACAATGCCAGTGAATAATGAGGACGCTCACTTGTAAACACAAAATCTGGGGGAAAATTGGTTATATTTGAGGCCCTATTTAAAAGCCTTCTCTGTTTTCAATGTTCTTAAAACTTGCAGGGTATGTTTGGCACTTTTGTGGAGCGCGCGATGCAGATAAGCTCGAAGCTTTAAATAAAAGAATACTTAGATTTATACTTGGAGATTACTCGTCTCCATACAACACTCTTCTCTCAAAAGTAAGCTCTACTTCTTTGTTTAACAAACGCATTCAAAATTTCCTCATTCTGTTATATAAGAGTTTGTTTTTCACTCATTTTCCTACTTATATGAAGAATATGTTTTCACTCCGGTCCTCTTCCTATGATCTTCGTGGCAAGTACATTCTTTCACTAAGTAAACCTAAAACAACTACCTATGGTCTTAACTCCTTTTCTTACTTTTCAGCTAAGCAGTGGAATGCACTGCTGGACTTTTTTCGTACCAGTTTTTTTGCAGACTTTAAGACTAAAATACAGGATGTTACCTTCATGTAGATTCTTTTTGCCTGACATACTTAAACTTAAAATTGTGAATTGTAAATGATATTTTCTTTCCTTGCATTTAATGTATATATATATTTTCTATATAGTTTTTATGTAGTGTCAGCTCGAAGATATTAGCTTGTTAGCTACCCTAAAATTCGAGTTTAAATAAAGTTTTATGTTATGTTATGTTTATAGACAATTAACCTCGGGATTGTCAAATTTATAAAAAAATTTGTCGAGCGGTTTTTTGGAAAATGCGAAATTTGTAGGCATGGACCAAATTACGTGCAAAAACTGTAACAAAAGCAGCTGAATGCAAGTTACTAAAATTCTTCTAACTCGCGATCGCCCGGAGCAATTCTCCTCACTTTCTGTACGCAGTTTTCAATGAAATCAAACCACTATAAGATGAAGCCGTGTTACCATAGCTCATCATTTTCTTAAAAAATTAGCTAATTGTGTGGATAGCAAGCTATTTCACTGTTTTTATGACGCTTAAAACTTCGTTTCAAAATATTTCGAAAACGCTCTCATAGAATTTGTTCAAACTATAACATAATTGAGGCAATTATGGCAGGTACAAACTCTCTTGAGCGATTTCTTAAAAAAACTCCCGGTACAGAGAAACACAAAGATAAATAAAAAACGTAATGGCGTCGTTACGTTGCCATGGTGACTCCGATTGCAATAAAACCCAGATCATAAGAAATTTTCATCTTTATATAATACAGTTGTGGTAATCGTTTTCGACCCTGTGTTAAGAAAAACGAAATGTTGCCATTCACAATAAGCTATTAGCTGTTGAGACCGCAAAGGAAAATGAGGTCGAAGATAAACAGATGATAGCAGAGTTATTTGTTTTTTTCCCTGGGAGCAACAAGACCTTCGCATCTAAAGGAAAATGAATGCAGAATCATGAAAGTTCCCACAATCAACAGGTACCAGCTTTGGATCCCTTGCGGTGAAGTTAGGCCATGCCATAAATAAGTAAATGACCATCAAAAGAGGAAAGGCTTTGAGAGAATAAGACCAAGTGCTGCTAGAAGACATGGAAATCTCGAAAAGCTTATGGGATCTGAATGGAGTGATAACATCTCATATAAGTCACTAGGAACAGTCTACAAGAGGAACTTAACAAGCCAGATCTTCTCTCAGTTACTGAAGACTTGGAGATGTTGAGAAAACATCTCCTTCACAAGATTGTCACTTGTACAGGAACCTTAAAAGCTGCACCAACAATTCAGAATTGGGGCGAGTTAGCTGAAATAACCCTTTGCCAAGTTATAACATTCCATAACCAAAGAGGTGGTGAAGTTTCGAAAATGCTGCAGCTTAGAATGTAGAATGGCCAGACTGGAAGAAATCAGCAACAAAAGGAATTGAAGATTGTATATAGCCGATTGAGAAGGAGGTGTGTAAGAGGTATAAAGTGATGACACATTCAGTTATTCCACTACCAACACACAAAAAAATTGCAGACACCTTGGAATACATGCACAGTGATAAGATACACTTACAAATCTATCACCAACTGCTACACTAGATTACGTTGATTGCCAACAATTCAACAAAAATATTAATCGACGCACTAAGAAATCTTCCAGCAGGGTAAAGGGTGCATACCAAATTATTGCCAATATCAATCTAAAAGAAAAGGATGGAAAAATTTAATATTTTGCCCTTTGTATCCTTGGATATGCTAGAGACTGAAAGCAGAAGGGGACGTAAGGTCCCAGTGGTGTAAACACGTGATATAAAAGATAAAATGGAGGTCTCAGGCAAGAAAAGACGAGGCCAAAATCAATCTAAAGTTTAAAGTCTAAGTTTTTCTTTGCCCGCCCCTCTGAGAACTCAATTAATCGCAGTCGCCATGGGGACTGTCTGAGGAATTAATGTTCTTAGAAATCTTCCAGCAGGGTAAAGAGTGCACACCAGATTATTGTCAATATTAACCTAACAGAAAAAAAATGGACCAATTTTGCGCTTTCCCATTATATTTAGAATATGTATCCTTTGCAGGTTGGATATGGTTGAGATTGAAGGCAAAAGGGGACGTCAGGTCCCACTGTTGTTAATGCCTGATATCAAAAAAGCAATGGAGATCTTAGTCAAGAAAAGACAAAGCCAACACCAATCCAAACAACAAGTTTTTCTTTACCCGCCTGTCTGAGGACTCAATTAATCACATTCGCCACATGGACTGTCTGACAAAATAATGTAGAGGGCTTAAATTAAAAGAACCTAGTTTGATAGTACCTGCCATAGAAAGTATGTCGCAACGGTTTCCCCAGTGTTAGACCTCCAAGAAAAAGAGTTAGATTGACTGGCACGACACATGGGACATGACATCAGAGTACACAGGGAATATTATAGACTCCACGAGTCTGAAGCGGGTTAAAGTCAGCAAAATATTAGCACTAGTTGATGAGGGAAACTTCCAGCAAGCCATTGGGAAACCTTTGAATGAAGTCGAGGTTGATCCTGGTTAGTTAAACATTTATGTCTTGCTCTTGTAGATCATAATCTGTTTAAATTTTGTACATAAACTTTTCAGGGGGTATAGCCAATAACAGCCAAACAAACTACAAGTAAAAAACTCTGTGGGTTACAACTAATTGGTTTTAGGGGAAAAACGTATACGCAAAATGTTCATCCCTCTTTCCTTCAAAAATTGCATTTTTCTCGCCGTAAGAAAGGGTATAACAAAGGAAGAGATGGCACGACACTGCAGACAGCAAACAAGAGGGGTTGAGGAAACTTCTAACTGCTACGGTTAGTTTCTAACTGTTACGATCGGTTATTTCAACAAGAAATGTTGATTGATGGTTGGTTACATTGCAAAAAATTGATTGTGCCACTGCAAGAAATATATAATATTGAATTTGAAAAATTCACACGCTTATGCGGGTACATGCATTTGTAGAATTGCAACCTTTACTAGGACACTTTGGGATGATTTTTTGTAGAAAGTGTACATAAGCGCTTACCAAGTTAGATGTGTGTCCAGCTACCTTGTGGATTAATTGGTGTTTGAAAGATTGGTGTACAGATTTGTTGCCACTGTATGAGAATTAACTCTTTGCCTGTTTTTCCAAGCGCTTATTGAAGATCAAATTTTTCGCCCCGCTGTCGCCATCTGCGTTTGCGCGGCTTTTTGTGTCTAGTGCGAAGCACAGACACTATGAGAAAACGCTAAAATCCTCTGGTAAGTGCTTCATATATGGCAAATTATTATGTCATACAAATAAAGTTTCTCCTACATGACACATTACTTGAAGCATTCTTTACTTGGTACCAGGAGGGTAATATCATCGATAATCACTCGTAATTTCTTTGTGACCCGAAATAAACAACCAATGACAATCGGAACCAATCAAATGTGTATTAGTAGAGACGACAATTTCGCCAACACCATGTGCTTTCCACGACAGCTCCTGACAACTGCAAGAAAACTCTTTATGATGATTTGCTTTCATTACTTTCTTCAACGTGTGTGATACGAATTGTCCTATCGGTAAGTTACCTTTTAGTTTCTTCTTTTGTGATGAATTTCTTAAGACGTATTTTCTCAGTATGCCAAAGCTTTCGAAGTATGTGTCAACCCGGCCGAATGAAAAAAGCTTACTAGTGGTACTGTCGAAGTACAGTCAACTCCCGCCTTGCGGACACCTCGCTATTACGGACACCCCGCTATTACGGACAGCAGCAAAATCCCCGGCGAAAGTTACAGACGTTTGACTGAAATAAACTCCCGCTATTACGGATTCTCGCTACTACGGACTTACGGACACTTTATTCGGTCCCAACGTCACAATTTTATTGTTTTCTCTCTCATTATAGTGGACACCGAGCAGCATCTTGGAATATTTGCACACATATCAAGTCTATTTTTTCTGCTTTTTGAGACTGTCTTTGTCTTTTTTGTCCAAAACATTTCTGCTTTTTTGATTCATAGAGGGGAGTTTAAGGTTGCTAATGAATTTAGTGTCCTTGGCGACAAAGTGGGGGAAGTTGCAGTTCAAAGGAGAAGTACACAGAGCCGATTGGAACAATATTTTAAGGCAATGTGATAGTTCATGCGATCAATAGCTGATGTTCAGGTTTTCCCTTGAAAATAATTTTTTTTAGAAATGTAGATTACTGTACTTCAGTACAGTAGGAAACCAAAACGATGCATGTGTGGACATTGCTGCAACATACGATGATTGTTTTTTACGTACTTAGAAGAACTACTGTACACAAAGGGTACGTAACTCCCGTTCTGTTAAGTTCTGTTCTGTTTGTAAATAAAGTTCTGACCCTCTTTACTTGCGACAACGGGTCTGAAAAAGGTACTGGAGTTAATGAAAATGAACACACATGTGATCCCCTTCTGTAAATATGGTTTAAAGTAAAAATTTTCTCGCACCCCGCTATTACGGACTCTCGCTATTACGGACGTCAAATCACGGTCCCGAGGGTGTCCGCTATAACGGGAGTTGACTGTAAAAGGTGTTACTCAAGCAGACATAGAATCTCTTCTGTTTACTCCGCCCATCTGTATAACTTATAATCGACGAAGCAAAGTAGTTGAAAATGAAAGTCCGTAAACTGCCATGTTATTATTGATGTTAGTTCCTCATTTTGTTGTTGTTACTTCACAAGTTGGATGAAAGCTAAAATTTACACAAACTGACATTCTGTTGTCATTCTTGTCTTGTCATTCTACAATGTACAAAATACGAACAGTTTGTGTAACTTCAAGTAATAGCTTTCATCCAACTTGTGAATTAACAACAACAATAAAAAGAGGAATTAATTACTATAATAACGTGGCTGTTTACTGACTGTTCGTATTTTGTACATTGTAGAATGACAAGACAAGAATGACAACAGAATGTCAGTCAGTAAACAGCCACGTTATTATAGTAATTAATTCCTCTTTTTATTGTTGTTGTTAATTCACAAGTTGGATGAAAGCTATTAGTTGAAGTTACACAAACTGTTATTTACAATTAGACCGGGCAAGGCAAGAATGACATCACAATGAATCTTACTTTAAGATCATTAGATGGAATTCACCAAATCGCTAAGCTAACTGGCTTTGCTGCTGAAGTTTTAAGAACTCTCTCAAGCAGACATAGAATCTATAATGTTTACTTCGCCATCCTTTTATAACTTATAGATGATGAAGTAGAATAGTTGAAAATGTTAGACACTAAACCGCCATTTAATTATTCTAATGAATTTTGCATTTTATTGTTTTTAATTCATATGTATGAAGAAACATGCTTCTTTAAGTAACTTAAAAAATTACACAAACTTTTTGTATTTCTCATTTACAACCAGTTGCCTTGAAATAAAGTTGTGTTCAATTCATTTCATCGTTACCACTGTGATGTTAAAAATAACAAATTCATAATTGTTAGCACTACTTCCAGAAAAACGTCTGCAAACATTTCAACCAGAACCCAAAGCAGACCAACCTCTACTCCTCCTTACTTTTCTATATCACCTTCAACACGTTTGTTAGTTCTAGCCATATTTCTTTGCTAGACTGTTGGAGCTTCACATTATACCCCAGCCATCACTCCTGTACTCTATGGCGGATAAATCCTAATGGCATTCACGAAGTCTAACGCAATCCTATATAACCATAAACACATTGTGCAATTACCCAGCACTAGACACATGTACGCATTGCGGACCTGTTTTTTCTACTGGTCTTGGCCGTCAACTTTCCTTTTGGCAGGGGTTCCAAAAGGTTTCCAACCAGGAGCAGGTTCTTAATTTTTTAAGCCTTTGTTTCTTTAGACCGAAAGTCTTAACGAGATTGTCTAGTAATGCGTTTTCTACCCGATTCAGCTCTATCAGCAGGTGTATCCCAAGGTTCAACTCCGTAAGCGCCTGAAAAGGGAAATTCTGTCACTAATTCTTCCGAGGTTTTTCTGGTGTCTTGAATGAAGGAGTGGACTTTTTAACACTGGACTTTTTTAACGGCATCTTGCGTAATAAATGCTTTCCTTTGGACCCCATTTTAAAGGCAAACTTGGCTTTTTTACTGCTGGGTTGTGACTATTTCATGTCAGGGGTCTTTGGAGTCCCTGGCCTTTTTATACCTTTTTGAATCTTGGCTATTTGCTAATCATTTGATGCATAGGACCTACAGCTAAATTATCCTCCTCATCTGATAAATCCTCACAATGTTCTCCACTCCCAATCGCTCGTGTTCCTCCTGGTTGTTGTATTTTTTTAGTCTATTGACATAATTGTCATCCTACTGCTTTCAATCGTGGTTCTTTCCATGTATCGGGGGCTTCACTTTCAAAGAGCATATGTTGTTGAGCGGCTAAATCTGCTGTTGGCTAAATGACTGTCATCCAAGAGTTTGGATTTGTATTGATCACGCAAACATCAAAATTACACAGAATCTTCTAAGAGTGTACTGCTTATTCCCTCCATTCTTGAAAAATGATGACCCTATGGATCATGATCTGCTACCTATATGTTTTAAGGTCGTGGTTGAGACAGGGTGGGGAAATTTTTCTTTCCGTTTTTGTTGAATCTCTTTCAACATCTCAGCTACAGACAAAATACCTTGCACTATACAAAGCCATTGATTGAGCAGTACTTGTCTTCTCATCATGTTAGTAACGATACTGTTTATGACCACAATGATAACAATGTCGTAATTCTTGCCAAACACTTCCTCCTAATTGATGCATCATCAATCCTCGTGGCCTTTTTATACTTTGCCAAGGGTTGGCTATGACACGGAGTTGTTTAGCATAAGGTTTGAGTCTCCCCAATGTTTGTCTTCCTTGAGGGACCGCGCCACAGATCGTATTCATGACTGATTCACTCACATTGATTTGATCTGTATTCGCATGTCGTAATTGTTGTTGGCGTTTATGTAACTTGGCTTCATTCAATACACTTTTTAAAAAAGCAGTTTCATGTGACATACACCCTGTTATCTATTTGTTTAACACACTGAACGTGTAATGGTGCTTACGTTTTACACGACGCTTACGTGTCATAGCCTTATGTCTTGCTATATCAAGGACTTTTTTAGTACCATAACTAGCTGCAGCACTCACTCCACCTAGAGCTGACGCTTTCCCTGCTGCTACTAAAGCAGGAACAGCTAGGGCTAAGATAGGTGCAATACCACCTGTTTGTCTTCCAACC